AGCAGACTATGTAAAACCTACCATGTTCAGAGATATACGATACAAAACCTATTCATAGCCGTCAGTAAGCAACACAAGCCAACATTTAGGCAATGAGATAAATACAAGCATTATGTGAAGCTAAGAGCTAAAGTGCAGCTGATTAAGTACCTTATAGCCGCAGCAGCAGTTTTCTTAACTTGTATGTTTACATAGTAAGTTAACAGACCAAATATTTAATAGCGATTTTAAGAGCAATTGAAAACTGTTACAAATCTGAGGATGTTCGTAAATTAGTGAGGAGAGAATTCCATTATTTTGCTGCTGCATACCTGAAAGATTGTGGACTAAACCTTAATGTTCTTTCGTTTTGGGATTTCCAGAGTGCTTACATACCTAAATGAGTAAGATTTCTTTTTAAAAGCAGCAACAACACCAACAATAATAACAACAACCCCCAAACTACCAGATCATTTCAGTATGCTGGGGAATTTTTCTTTTGAACACACACACACACACACACACACACACACACACACACACACACACACACACACACATGGAAGATATATGGATCTTTATCTGCACTGGTTCATGTAAAACTTGGTTACACGTAGTTTGTGATTTACTTGTAAACATAGCTTGACGGCCTTATCTGCATAGTGATGCTACAAAATCGGGCCTATAATGTCCTTATTGTAGATAACTTTTTAATGTCTAATTTTACCTGGATTTTCAAAATGCCCATTGTAGTAAGACACAATTTGTATTAGTAGTTTCAACAGTTTGTCGACGTACTGAGCATAAACACAACCAAGTGCTGACTTTTTAACTTGGCCTTAAATTCATACATCCATCCATCCATCCATACATACATACATACATACATACATACATACATACATACATACATACATACATACATACATACATACATACATACCTACCTACCTACCTACCTACCTACCTACCTACCTACCTACATACATACTTTTTCTATTCGTCGGTATGATGCATGCATGGACGTATCATTTTCATTTATATAACTTGGGATCTGTTTATTTCTGTTGTTCATAATGTTTAATCTTATTTGATATCCGAGCACATGTCTTATTTGAATAATACTATACATATGAAACAAATACAGTTTGAAATATGATCCCAAATATTGTCTTTGTGTATTAACCACATTTCTGCAACTATCGGATATCCAAAACTCTTCCTCCAAAAGTTTAGCTTGAAAGCATACATTAGCTAACTCGATGCTTATTATGTACTATTAGCTGCTACATTTGTAGCATACACCAGTAACGGAAATCCATCAGGAATATGTAACTACTCCGAATAGTGCTAATAATAACAACAATTAGTGATAATACATGAATATTTAATACATATAACAAATTCTACACATATACCTTACACTACAACAATATTTCACATCATGGCTGTCAGTTAATATTAACAGTACAATGTAGTATGCAATTCTAGACTAACAGCCGCAAACAAATACCGACCTATAAAACATGCATACATTAGTCTGGTCCCCTGGTTAGTATGCTCCCTGCGATGCACTCCGCTATACTAAGCGGAGTGCATCGCAGGGAGCATACTAAGCAGGGGACCAGACTATGCATACATATGCACTTTTGTTTTCCTAGTGTAGATCACAAGACATAAAAAAGCTGGATATAAAAAAATGTTGAAAGTGTTGCAACTCGTGATTTTAATAATTTTTAAACATTTATGTGTTATATGAGGAAAAAACAAACATTTTCACGTATGTTCCAAAAAATGTCTTTGTGTATCCAGTATCCCATACTCTTCTTCCAATAGCAAAATAGGTCTAAAACACGGTCAACGAAAGACGGAAATGATTTAACACGCCATTAGCGCAAGTTTCTTTGCATTTAGACCATTATCGCGCATAATTCATGATAGTTACACTTAAACGAAATAGTTGTTTCGCCGGCTGGATTGTGCAAATCTCACACATCCTGGAACTGAAGATATTAAGAAAAAAAATATTTATTAATAACCACAATATCAGCTTAATTACTCAATATTAATATACGTTTATTATTAATAACTGAAGCATTTTAACTCGTGTATAAATTGCAATACAGGCTGTTAATATTAATTTTTATCCTTTCCAAACTGTCGCCAAAATTTGCAGTTTCCCGTTTTTTGAATTTTATGTTGCATCATTTGCAGAAAAAAATGCATATTATTTTTTTTAAATATAACTAATATTAAATTTAACATATGAATTATACATACACATCAAATATACACTACGATACCATATAACTGAAGTGCGTTTCGGTGTTTATATTACCTTCCGGCTTTTCGGTGTTTCTATGCACCCTAATTTATGATGTTTGGAGATAATATTCTCAATTATTTTATCCGATTAATTGATCACAAATGATCATGTATGACGAGTGACGTAAAAGCAACATTTGGAAAGACAACTGTCACGTTGTGGGGATAATTTGCGGAAGCTTCGTGTATGTACATATCTTCTTATAGTTAATGCGCAGTTAAGAGCACCTGGTATAATGCCACAACATATTGAGTAAGATTACGAATGTAGTCCAATTATGGACACTCGGAAACTGTCTGTTGTTTAACTATTATGCAACGACCCGTTCGCTGTCAATTCCAAGGCAATTTCCACCCACAGGCTTACCTGGTAGAGACTCCTGTTTGTTTTGCAATCAGTCTGGGATGTCTCGACCGGCTTTAAGCAAGTTCAGGCTTTTGGAATCAGTACACAATTAATAAAATCCGGTTCAGTACCCACGAATGTAGTCCCAGTCTATTTTTAGATCACTTTTTCCGGTCAAAGTTTGGTGGTGATACTAGAGTCAGATTTTGACATTCTTGGTAAGGATTTAAAGGCAATTGTTTATTCTTTAAAATGTTAGCTTATGGTGTGGTTGTCTGTGTGTATTTCGGTGACAGTGCACATTGAGTAATAAGGTCATGGTGATGATCCGGAAGTGAAATCTGTGTTCTGTTGCATGGTGTTTTGTTTACAATTCAGCCTCTCAAAAAAAAAATGCAGGTCAACCCTTGACAAGAACTAAACCGTAAAGTCATCTTTGAAGGTATTTTAGATTAACATATGATTTGTATTGATTGTCACACAGTGGAAAGTTCAGTACTGAGAAACAAATGTAGAGACAATATAGTGAAATTAATTGTGTACTATGGCCTTTTGGGGTCTGGAAACCCAAGAGCAACAATGGAAAAATTACACCAGGGCAGAGAGACCTGATCGTATCCAATCAAAAGCGAGAGAATCACATCTAGCGCGGAGTCTGAATAAACGACCACTTATGTTCGGACCAAAATCATTATTTTAGTCAGTGCATATGTGAATGTTACCAGTGGTGGATTGTAGAGAAATTGAGAGACATTAGACTGCACACTTGGAGTTGTGCGCTCGATAAAAGGCAGAAGGAATCCAAGCAAAATTCTAGGGTTTGTTTTGCGAACAAAGGCTTCTTAAGGTAACATGTCTTGCCCCGAACTTGTCTTACTTTCAAAACTAGTGTTGCAAGATTGATACATTATTATGTACATTTAATTGATTAGAAATGGAACCTTCCATGTATAGCTGAATTATCAACTTATCCTAACGTAGCGTATAGCGAACTATTAACATGCAAGATTAACGTATGTAGATTGTTAGACTGGAATATAAGTGGACTGTGCAATTTGTTACAATGCTGCATCGTAATGCATAACTGAAGTTATTAGTGAATTGTTTTAGAACTTGTACTTGCTATATTAGTATATGCACGAATATAGAGATTGTGAATTATGCAGACTTAGTCGTTTTTGGACTTGTGCCAATATAATTAGGTATTTGTATATTTATAAGTCTTATATAATTCGTAATGTACGTAATACTTATGATTGTTGTTGCTGATGATTGTTGACTGTATAGAGGAGTTAACAATTAGGCATGTGTATGCATACATTAGAAGTCGCTGTTAATAATGTCATTGTTATAAGTCTTACAGAACAAAGCGTGCGTGGAATATTTAGATGTGAGTGCGTGAGTTGACTTGATAATTTATTTGTCATTATTCTGATGAAAGGTCTATGAGAGTGGCTAATTCTGGGAGTGTAGAGTCCACATCCATGGCTCGGAAACATGGAAGACAAGTGGGGAGTAAGTGGCCATAGAACACAATTAATTTTACTATATATTCTCTACATTTGTTTCTCTGTACTGAACTCCCCCCCGTGTGACAATCAATACACATCATATATTAATCTAAAATACCTTCAAAGATGACTTCACGATGAAGTTCTTGTTAAGGGTTGAAATGCATTTTTTGAGAGGTTGAATTGTAAACAAAACACCATGCAATGGAACAGATTTAAATTCCGGATCATAACCAAGGCCTTGTTACTGCCGCTGCAATACACATAAACAACCACATCATAAGCACAATGTTTTCAAGAATAAACAATTACCTTTAAAGCTCAACCAAAAATGTATCAATAAAACTCTTCTATCACCACCAAAATGTGAGAGGAAAAAAAATGTTCTAAAAGTAGACTATAACTACATTCTTGGGTACTGAACTGGAAGTACTAACTGTGACCCGATTCTAAGTAGTATGCATTATTGTGACGTCAGCAGTTTGTGTGCAGGCGCAGTGCCGGAAGGAGTATGTATTTGAGACTACCGTGGGAAGGACGGATTAAGAATGAGAGGAGAAAACATAGTCAAGGATACCGGAAGTACCAAAAGTGATATGTGTGATTTAGATTTTTTTAAACGTAGCTTTAACAATTTTTCAGTCATATCGCTACGATATCTGCAGTGTGACAGTTTGTAGTGATATCTAGCATTGGGACATCATGCCGCAGACAGGTGACATGATGTCCCACTAAGTCATATCCTAACACCAAGGCAACCAGTCTTAACACTAATCTCTAAAGCTGAGCGTCAAGCGAGGCAGTTGTTAGTACCATTTTTTTAAAAAAAGTCTTTGATATGACTCGGCCGGGGTTCTAAACCACAACTTCCCGCATCCGAGGCCGACGCTCTAACCACTAGGCCACCGGAGCTGTTCGAAGTACCAAAAGAGAAACTAGGCGGACAGATGAGTAACAGAGACAACACTGAAGGGAAACACCCTCACGTTGGACCTTTAATTCATATGATGAGACAGTAATTTGTATTTTGCATAGGGTTATAATGTTAAAGAGAAAGAGTTTATATAGTTTTCCTCACCTTTTATACTGGCTATTTAACAAAAACATGGCTTATATCAGGTATTATTAAAATAACTTTCAATTCTCTTTAGTAATTGACTGTTCTTGTTCGAAAGAAATTGCTTTTGAGAAATTTGTCGATGAAATTGTTGAACATATTTGATATATTTTATTAAATAGCTATACATTTCTACTTGAGTTATTTATACACCTAGATTGTCAGCCTTGCTAACTGGGGCTTCGTAGCTATTTAAATTTTAATTGCCAACTTCTATTGTTATTTGAAATAATACCGTAGAAGGCAAGTGACAAAAGTGGCGGCATCGTCCTGGAATTGAAATACACATAAATACTATCTTTATGAACAAAAATTATTATTGAGAAGTACTTTAGTAAAATTTTAAGAGATAGTTTCCATTTTGTGTATATCGTATTTCCACATTTGCATGCTTATTAGTTTTCATTTACTTACAATAGTATCGGACCAGAGGTTTTTTTTTTACTGAGACAAGTCGGTTCTTTGTAAACGTGTAAATATTTCGTTGATAATAATTTGTAGCACTTGTTAACTCGATAGTAAGTTGAAGGAAGGTATCACTTATTGATAGCATTAATTTACGATGGCGACAGAAAGAATGATGATAAAGGAGCATCGTGCCAATGGCATGGAAGACTTAGCGTACAAGGGGGACCGACTCTCAGCTTTCATTGAAGAATGAGTCAATGAATAGAAGGCAGAGAAAGAAGTAGAATGGTGCGCGGTCGAGAGAGAAAGAGAAGCAGAATGAGAAACCCATAAAGAGCTGACCAGGTAAGAAGCGTCTGCACACGAGAACGAAAGGAAGCAGAACGACGAGCGGTCGATACGGAAAGAGAGCTCGCGCACGATTTTGAAATGAATAATTACAAATAGGATCAATAACAGCAGAGAGAGAGAGAGAGAGAGAGAGAGAGAGAGAGAGAGAGAGAGAGAGAGAGAGAGAGAGAGAGAGAGAGAGAGAGAGAGAGAGAGAGAGAGAGATGACACCAGTTCCAGTCCTGCAGGAAATGGACGGACTATTACTGACCACCATATTATCGAAATAAACATGCCACGATATAAAGAAAATGGAAGAATCGATTGTCAATTTTCGTGTTCAATTCGAGAAATTCTCGTGCTAACAAAAGATTCCTAAACAACACTGGGTAATCAACGTTTCGGCCATTCTGCAAGATGCAGCTAGAGCAGTTTATCACTACATAGCAGCAGACCTAGCAGAAGATTATAGTACACTGATGAAGGTCCTTCTTTGCCATTATCGGCTGACCCCCAAAATATAATGTAACTTGTTCAAGACTCAACGAAAGAGAAAATGGAGACACACTCTTAATTTCACACCATAGTTCGCGGGTTATTTGAGAAGCTGACGAATATCGTAGATTGTTGACCGGTCTTACGAAGGTCTATGTGAAGCGATACTCGAGGAACACGTCCTGAGTACATATAGGCGAGACAGCATAAGACTTTTGAAGACATTGCAAGCATGGTAGAAACATATGAACAAGCGCACTCAAGGATTGGAGTCTCCGATGGGGGAGGGGGCACATACTCTTCCCCACTGCGTCGCTCCGTGTGGTTGAGGGAGAGCCAGCCGTACGTAACCGTAAAGGGGACAGGAAGGTCGGAAGTCGATATGCGGGTAAGTATTACTCTCACCTGCGCGGACGGGTTTCAGCCATGGGAAATGGCATTGCAAGATGAAGAGAGCCAACGAGGTGCTACAACTGCAAGCGCCCAGGGCATTTTGCTAAATAATTACACAAGGGCAGGCCAACCCAGATGAATTATGTTGCCGAGGTGATCTGTTGACCAGTAAATTTCGCATCTCCCACTGTCAGTGGGTAATACGCCACCATCTTTTACGCCACTGGGTGTAGTAATCATGCCCTTGGCAACCAGAACTGCTTGAAGACAGATGACTATTGTTGGCGCACTGGACTTCAATTACAGAGGAGGTAATTTAAGTCCAGTACGCCAATATCCGCGTTCTTGTCTGGATTGTCACACAATGTCATACTAAGATGGCGTTATGTGTTACCGCAACCTAACCCGTAAACCTGTACACCTGCACCAGTGAGTGCTTTAGATATCAGGTCCAAGAGTCGTCAGGCGAAGTCCACGCCGATGGAAGTTACGTCGTCGCCGGTTGATAACGTACTTTCAGTTGAAGGAACTGCAGCAAGAGTATGCAACCCTGACAGAGTTGCATAAACACGCCGCAAAATGAACATTAAAAGGAGCTCCGAATGGCGAGTCGAAGTTTATGTACGTGAAGGGTATCTTGTACCACCACGCCAGGAGAGGACACTAGCACTTCAAACAAGTCGTCGTGCCCAGGACAAAGCGAGACGAAGTACTGAAGCTCGAACATGAATGTCTAATGGGCGGAAACATGTGAATTGCCAAGACACATGACTGCCTTGTCAAAGAATTCCAGTGGCCAGTGGTCCGGAGAGATTTTAATCAGTTTTGTTTCTAATGGGACAAATGTCAGAGAATGACACCCAAAACAGATGATCGACCGGATCCCTTGGGAAATACACCTGTTATCGATGAATCATTCGGTCGTGTCGCTGAAAAATATTTAAATTACTAAGAACGTTTCTGTGTTTACATGCACTATTAAGAAGCAAAATATCTGTATAAATCTGTATGCAAATCTATATCCACGATAATTAGTTTCGAACACAATGCCAAGAGCATCATATCAAACACGAAACCAGAGACAAGAGTAATCATTTCCTGCATGTATCCGTTCCTAACCTTGTGAGTAAATACGTGTGAGAATGTCTTCCATCTGTGTTTTTAATTACGTATTTCATTTGTTTCCTATTGTTTTTAAAATTCTTCTAAGATTGTTTACAGAAGAAGGAATACAACCCTTTGGAAGGAATATAACTCTTAGAAACGCATGTGGTTTCCTTGAGTTACTCTTGTTTAGTAACGGTGAGAAGGGATACAAAATTCTCAAAAAGGCATAACGTTTCCTTTAGAGTTCATGTTATTTAGTAAAGGTGGAATGGGACACACTACTTACACCTCTCTCTCTCTCTCTCTCTCTCTCTCTCTCTCTCTCTCTCTCTCTCTCTCTCTCTCTCTCTCTCTCTCTCTCTATATATATATATATATATATATATATATATATATATATATATATATTGCAAATACAAAACGGTAATGAGGTCTCAGAAAGTTTGTACATATGTACAAGTATTGTGGGGACCTGACATACATAAATATGCCAAAAAGTTTGTACATATGTACACATATTTGTGGGTACCTAATTTACATAAATATGGCAGGATACCTAACTAAAGCTGATTAAACATGTATTTAGACTGCGTTTCGAAATATGTCCCGCGCTCTAATATGATGTATGGATATTTCATGGTCAAAATTCATCTTTAAAGCTCTTTGACATAATTATTTGTAATAGAAACCATTTTGTGTGTAATAACGTTCAAAAGCAGTGTGAACCTACTGTTACAAAAACATTTCCTTGTTGCCACACATATTTTTGCCCAAAAGACTTATTTCACTTTCCTTCTACTCGCTGTGTCTTATGCATATGACTAGAATGCAGAGCTCGTAAAACATGGTTGTCTCTGTATATGAGTAGTACTTTGTGAGTAACGAACGAGTATCTAGGTATATGGGCAGTGCATTGTAACACATGGCAGTGCATCATTGTATCACATGAGTATCTCAGTACATGGATAGTACATTGTGAGTAACACATCTCAAGATATGGAAAGTGCTTTGTAACACATGTATAGTGCATCTCTTTCACATGAGGTTCAGTACATGGGTAACACATGAATATCTCAGTATATGGACATTGCCTTATAATACATATGCAGTGCTTGTAACACATGAGTATCTCAGTATACGAGAAATGCATTGCAACAAATGGGCAGTGGATTGTAACACATGAGTATGTCATATGAGAAGTGCATTGTAACAAATTAGCAGTGAATTGTAACTCATGAGTATGTCGTATGGGCAGTGCATTGTAACAGATTAGCAGTGAATTATAACTCATGAGTATGTCAGCATATGGGTAGTGCATTGTGAGGAACACATGAGTGTCACAGTATATGGGCAGTGTGTGAGTAACGTTAGAATATATCAGTATATGGTCAGTTCATTGCAAACCTTGAGTAGTTGTGACAATGGGAGGTATATATGATTCATATTAGTTTCAAAAGCAAGTCAAACTCCTGACACAAAGATACGGCTCTCTCTTAATGTTGTAAATAGTTGCAGGAGTATTTATAGGGGCAACAATGGAAAGTTTGAATATCGTGGCGTTCTACTGGTTTGTATTTTGCATAGGGTTATAATGTTAAAGAGAAAGAGTTTATATAGTTTTCCTCACCTTTTATACTGGCTATTTAACAAAAACATGGCTTATATCAGGTATTATCAAAATAACTTTTAATTCTCTTTAGTTTTGTGTATGACTGATGCGTGTAATTTGGATTAGAGAGTATACATTTTGGCCTTACTTCAGATGTTCATCTATAAAAAAAAAAAACTAATTCCGCATGTTCATTTTCACTTCCTGGACTTCATAGGTAAATTGTAAAATAAAAAACAGCCAATAACTTTTAAACTTTTAATATATTAGGTAAGTCATTCTTAATACATTCAGAAACAGGTATTGTCTAGTCTGGCAAATTTACTCTTCCCTGTTCCTGTTTCAATAACTTTAGACAATAGTCCGTGTCAATTAACCCGTTTGTTTTTACCCCCTACCGATTTCAATAACGAAAACCTTTAATTTGATAAAAAGTGCAAAGAACTTAGTCAAT